TTAAGCACGTTTTCCATATACTGCACCGCTGGCATAACAGCACTGAGAGGAGAATCCAGAAAAATAACGTGCTCTCATTTTCTTTCTCTGCAGACAGAAGCACTAAAATGTGTGGCACAGGCCAGTAAGAACCGGTCACTGGCAGATTTTGAAAAGGTGAGTCAGGAGATAGAAAATGGGACCTGGCTGGACAAAATATTTTGCTTTGGAAATTTGTAGAAGCTGCTGCATCCCAAAGCAGGAATCTATAAAAACATTCATAAAAAACCAACAGTACAACAAGCAAAATAGCCCACAATAATCAGCTTGCAGCATGGGGAGTAATAGCTTGCTTGAAACTAGGGGGTGGGGGTTTGTTTGTTTGGGGGTTTTTTTGAGAGTGAACTCAGAAGTGATACTTTTGGTGCTGTTCACTGGGATGTGTATCTTCCTAAAATTTTTCCTGGCTTCAGCAAGAACACCACAGAGATAACAGAAGGGATTCCCATGTCAGGGAATGATCCTGTCACGCTGTCTCCTGAGTGGAAACCAGAGATTCTGGCTTGCTCAGCTCCAGCAGTGGAAAGATGACGGGTGCTTGCTGAAAGCCTGCTAGGCTGTCGTGACCTCCTGGCCTTTTAGCAAAGAGATGAGATTGGATTAAGTGCTGATACTTTGCTGGGCAGGGAGGGAGGGAGGGAAGGAAGACTCTTTCATACTCAGAGGGCCTTGAGGACAGGAGACCTGTTGCTACCTGGATGATTTGTTCCCACTGTGTCTTCACAGGCTCTGACAGACTATAAGGTGGAGCTCAGGGACGACCCCATCATAAACACTCACTTGGCTAAGCTTTATGATAACTTATTGGAACAGAATCTGATCAGAGTCATCGAACCCTTCTCCAGAGTACAGGTAAATGTGTCCAGCAAGCACACCGACACACTGGTGCCCCTGTCCCCTGCTGTTGGTGGGTGAGGGACTTGTTCCCATGCAGAATACTTCTTACTCAGTGCTGCTCAGCACTTCCAGAGCTCAGGGTTCATCATGTTCAGCTGAAAAATAAGGAGGGGGCTGAGGGGAGCTTTGGAAAACCGTGTTCCAGAGTTGTTTCCCTTTCCACCTGCTTCACTTCTGCACATTGAAAGGTGGACATGCTTTTAACACTGAAGGTGACGGCGTTTGGCTTTTAAGGTTCTGACAAGGTGTCGGTAAAGCTGCAGTAATCTGGAAGAAGAAATGTTATTTCATATTTCAGAGTGAAATGACTTTAGGTGTCACAGAATCATAGAATTGCCTAGACTGGAAAAGCTCTTTAAGATCATCGAGTCCAATCATTAACCCAACACTGACAGGTCCCTGACTAACCCGTGTCCCTCAGCAAAGGTGTCTGGTCCACCTTCAGTTAAATGGGATGTGAAATCTGAAGGACATGAAGCTGCAAAGCAGGGAAAGCCATTGGAGATTTTTAGATCAGAGCAATCCATGGAGGAGCCCCATACCTCTGTGTTGTGTGTCAAAAGTGCAGCTAAAGATTGACCTAACTCTGTTGGTCTCTCTTCTAGATTGAACACATATCCAGCCTCATCAAGCTCTCAAAGGTAAGAACATCACTAGAAATCAGTGGCACGTCTTAAGAGGACAAAGGAATTGAGGTCAAATGGCATTTGCCACTGTGAAATAAACATAGGCTATTAAGTCTGACAGATCAGCTCCAGAGCATTTACAGGCAGATATCACTCTTGGGAACTTAACTTGAACACAGACAGTTCCCAGGAGGCATCAGACTGGCTTCCTCTGCGCCAGGCTTTGCTGTAACATCGCTTCCCTTCACCCGGGTTCCATTCCCTGTGTTAGCATTTGCTTTTTAGAGACACAGATTTTTATTGAGGCAGATTTCCCTCTGCTGTAGAAACAGCTTGTGTTGTGACCAGCTCAGTCTTCCCCAGTGACCTGCTTTTAATCCTCGTGAGTGTGCCCAGAGGAATCTTTCTTAGACCCTTCAGATACAGGATCCAGCTAATCGCTTTGCGGTTTCATTAGGGATGTGTATGTCGCACTGACTATTGCAACAACTGCTTTACAGATAATCCCAACCAGATTAAGTTTTAGGAAAATCCACTGTAGTCCCAAGTCAGTTACATCTCAAAGTGCTTTTGTCCTGTATTGACAGGCCAGAGGTTTGAAGGTGTACTGAGCTCGGCCTTTATGGTCCTTATTTACATCTTCTATTCTCATTTTGGGTCTGTGCAGTCTTTTCCTACACTAGCCCTTGGTGTTTGACACTTAATAAGTTGAGTAAAAGCTGGACTGCAGTTGTTTCTTGACTGCAGCTGTGTGTCCTCTGTCCAAAGAGAAGAGGAGATGACTCCTGCGGGGCCTTGCCTGGCACTGGGCAAGAGCTCAGCTCAGTACTGAGCAGTTAAGTGAAGTTTGGCCAACACTTGACCAAATACTTGCTGAACCAGTGCCCCAGATCCCCTAATGAGTAATGTCTGTGTGAAATGACAGATCCACCGTGTTCTGCGGAGCAAGAGGGCAAGACGTCCTGGTGCTCTTGTCGTTAAGAACTACTGTTTAATGTCCAATGTCATCTAAAGTGTGTGGCAGTATCAAAGCAGCGTGAAGGGAGAGATCTGTCCTGACATCATGTTCAGTGATGAAATAGGTGCTTTTAAGCTTATGCTTGCTAGGGCTGTTGAGTGTGGAGTAGTAAAATTTGCATTTCCCTATATAGTTCCGGGAGACTTTTTAATTTTTCTGCTTCAATTTCAGGCTGAGGTAGAAAGGAAACTGTCACAGATGATCTTGGACAAGAAATTTCATGGTGAGTCTCTCCATCCTTCAGTGCTGACTGCCTTGCTGCCCAAGGCCAGGTCGTGTGTGACCAAGCTGTGGATAGACTCCTCTTTATCACTGCAACTTGGAACCCCAAGTGCCCTCCTTAGACTGCTCTGCTGCAGACTGAGGAAGAGACTGAATGTGATTTCAGTCACCCTACCACTTCTGTGATTGGTAGGGGATGGCAGGGACCTCTGGAGATCATAGATGCCCAGACTGGTTTGGGTGGGAAGGGACCTTCAAGCTCATCCAGTCCCACCCCCCCTGCCAGCAGCAGGGACACCTTCCACTAGACCAGGTTGCTCAAAGCCTCATCCAGCCTGGCCTTGAACACTTCCAGGGAGGAGCAGCCACAGCTTCTCTGGCCAACCTGGGACACTGTCTCACCACCCTCACACCAAACAATTTCTTCCTCACATCTCATCTCCATCTCCCTTCTGCCACTTTCAAGCCATCACCCCTTGTTCTCTCACTCCCTGCCCTTGGCCAAAGTCCCTCCCCAGCCTTCCTGGAGCCCCTTCAGGTACTGGGAGGCCACTAGAAGGTCTCCCTGGAGCCTTCTCTTCTCCAGGCTGAACAGCCCCAACTCTCTCAGCCTGTCCTCACAGCAGAGCTGCTCCAGCCCTCGCATCATCCTGGTGGCCTCCTCTGGGCTGGCTCCAGTAGGTCCATGTCCTTCTGCTGTTGGTGGCCCCATCTGCCAAAGCAGGTTCACCTAGAGGTGTTCACCAGATGTGCAGGCTAGGAGGCACTATGGGAAGAGCACCGAGTGGTGGGTTTGTTTCTCTGTTGTCATGAAGGCTGCTCTGTTGCTCCATCTGCCTTCATTAAGCTCAAGGTTTAATTTCTCACAAATCAGCTACTGCTGTTACATCCTCACTTACTGTGGCTGAGTCCAAGGCCAGTTGTGACACCCACCAGTGGGCTGTCTAGGAAAGATGTGCTCTTCTGCCTTGAAGCTTCCTGGAATATGTGGTCACCTTTCCCAGATAAATGATGTCAAGAGCGTTTAGTGCGTTGGCGGGGGGCACCCACGCAGCACAGTTGATTGGGTTGGGTTTCTCTGGGACTGCAGGAGGCTGCTTCTCTAATAAGCCCTGAAGGAAACAGCTCTGTTCTTGTTTACATTGTCCCTCGTGTCGCTTTAGAAAGCTCTCTAGATCTAGCTGAGCGAAATGAATGGCTGAAAGAGACAATCCTGGTTAGAGAATAGCTCAGAAATTACAGAGCCCAGCTGCAGTGCCCATCTGGCACCTGGAAGTAGTTTAATTAGAAAATGACTTTTTTTTTGCCTCGCTCCAGTGTTGTGTTTAGCCATCCCAGTGGGTGTAGGGGCTCAAGGAGGAAGGTGGCTGTTAGGGAATGTGCAGGCATAAACATCTCCTGGATGTCTTCTGGGGCCCCTCTCCAGGACTTTATTTTTTTTTTCTGCTAATGCAGTCTGGACAAAAATCAGTCAGTCAGTCCAGTACAACACTTCAGCCCCTTCCAAACCTAACACAGCTGACC